ACACAGGAGTCATTGGCCAATAACCTTCTTCCACATCTTGTGGTCTTCACACAGCCTTGCACAGTGCACCATACTGAATCCTTTCTAGTTAGCCACATTGTCAAACCACACTTGCCATCAGTGCCCCCTGGAACCTGGCACCAGTTCCTGCAAAACTTGCTTCAGCAGTCTTCCTCTACTCGTCCAACCCACATATCCTGCAAACTCAAATTTTCTTCATCTGATTGTCTTGATGATATGAGATATCACTCAAATTAGGCTGTAAACCGGGGCAATTACCTGCTCATTAGCGGTATACAAGGTATAGCTAATATACAGCAGTTGCCTGTAGCATTTCAATTCAAAGGCAGAAAGCCTCTTAATGTCTTGTTTCCCCAGTGTCTGTGTCACACATGCATATAGCAAAATGCTGAAGAAAAGCGATGGCAGCAGTTTCATTTTGCATTTCATGGTAATACCTTTTGCTTCTCCAAATGAGGTTGAGTGTTGGTAGAGCAGCAGTCACACGTCCAGTTCTGTGTTGGGTTTCTAAGTGATGTTTAGTGTCCCTTATAATCATACTACTCAGGTATTTGAAGTGTTCAATGCACTTCAGTGCCTCCTCTGATTTGGGTAGGAATATCTTCACCTTTTCAGCAGACTTGTCACTGTCGTCTTTGTCTTTTTGTGTGATATCTTTAAACCTAACTTCTCTAGTTCTACCACTCTCTCTAGCAGTTTTTGCATCTCTTCTTGCAACACAACAATCAAGTCAATATCATCAGCGAAGCAAAGAGGACTAATTTTTTGTCCACAGATGGGAACACCCTTTTGAAGGTTTCCATCAGTGGCTCTTAAGATTTCTGTAAGGTAACTGTTGAAGAGAAAACAACGAGGAGTCCTTGTGGCACCTTAGACTAACAAATTTATTTGGGCATAAGCTTTTAATAAAGCTGCCCAAATAAATTTGTTAGTCTCTAAGGTGCCACAAGGACTCCTCGGTTGTTTACAGATTAACATGGCTACCATTCTGTAACTCTCTTGAAGAGAGTCGCTGATAGCATATAGTTCTATATATCCTTATTTATCCTCAGATCAAACCAAATACTTGGCTTGCTCCCCACAAATACTGAAGCCATTTGACTGTCATAAAGCTTGTTATATTTTCAACAACTCTGACCAACTACAGTAACTCCTCGCTTAACGTTGTAGTTATGTTCCTGAAAAATGCGACTTTAAGTGAAATGATGTTAAGCGAATCCAATTTCCCCATAAGAATTAATGTAAATAGGGGGAGGTTAGGTTCCAGGGAATTTTTTTTCACCAGACAAAAAACTATATATTGTATAGATATACACACAGTATACGTTTTAAACAAACAATTTAATACTGTTCACAGCTGTGATGATTGTGAAGCTTGGTTGAGGTGGTTAAGTTAGAGGGT